AGAGCTATAGACCAATTTCCCTTATGAGCCGCGTCTACGTGCTGTTTTCGAGAGTCATTACGAATCGTCTCGCACACAGACTAGACGACTTCCAGCCTCCCTCACGCAAGCCCTTTCGGAAACCGAAGGGCCGGTTTCCGAAAGCGAGAGATTATTTGACGGATTCAACTTGGCTGGACATCGTTTGGGAAATTACGACGCATCTTCTCTTCAAGTATGTTTTAAAACCTGGAAACGGGATTGCACAACCAGTGCGTGTTGCCAGTGATGACTTAGGGATCTGAGATGTGGTCCTTCACTGCTGGCTGTATGAGAACGATTACACTAATTAAATCCGTTACGTAAATATATTCAAACGCAAATATTCAAACTTCTGATTTTATGGCTTAGATGTTTTAATTTTCTCACGAAAACTAAAAAGGCTAAGTCGATTTTGTCGGCAAATAAGGTGATGGCTTCAGTATTCTGGGACTCGAAAGGTGTGATTATGATTGATTATCTTGAAAGGGGTCAGACTATAAACTCTGATTACTACTGCATCTTACTACGTCGTTTACGAGAGGAAATAAAAGAAAAACGTCGAGGAATGCTCAGAAGAAAAGTCCTGTTTCATCAAGATAACGCCCGTGTTCACACGTCAGTACAGTCAATGGCTGAAATTCACAACTGTGGCTTTGAACTGTTACCGCATCCGCCGTATTCACCTGATCTGGCACCATCAGACTTCTTTCTGTTCCCTAACCTAAAAAAGCACTTGGGAGGTCAAAGATTTTCGACAAACGATGAGGTCAAAGCAGCTGTAGACGCATATTTTGACTCTAAGGAAGAATCATTTTTTTTCAACGGTCTAAATGCTTGGAAGGGGAGGTGGCAAAAGTGTATTGAACTTGATGGTGATTATGTAGAAAAATAAAAATATAACTGATTTAGTATGTGTTTATTTTCTTGGTTAGGCCGAGTACTTTTCAATCCACCCTCGTATCATAAATATTTTCTTTTTAGTAAATCCCCCTTGGACCAAAATATTTTTATATTGCTTAATAAAATATACGTTGTTAACTGGATCTGTTTGTGCAGAAGATCAAACAGTACAATCTGCCACTTTGCCTGGCGTATGTGGACTATAAAAAAACCTTCGATTCCGTCAATATTTGGGCACTTGGGCAGTGCTGAAGTCCCTTTAGCGGTGCCAACTTGACTGTCTGTATATTGAAGTGCTGACGTATTTGTACAGTAGGGCTACGATGGCTTTCCGAGTACAGAACCAGAGTACGAAACCTATAAACCTGCAGAGAGATGTAAGACAGGGTGACGTTATTTCCCCGAAACTCTTCACAGCTGCATTGGAAGACGTTTTCAAGCTTCTGGACTGAAAAGGATACGGTATTAACAATAATGGCGAGTAAATCACTCACCTTCGGTTTGCCGACGATTATGGCAGAATGGTCTTTCTGGCAGAATCGCTGGAGGACCTAAGTTCAATGACCTCAATAGTGCCTCCCAATGGATAGGTCTTAAGGTTAACATGGACAAAAAGATCTTGTGTAGTCCAACTAGGTGAGTCCAACTTCTGCCGAGAAATCAATCGACAAATTCAACTAGGGTGGTCAGGATTCGGGAAATAACGACACATATTCTAGTCAGCTATACTTCAAAACTTGAAAAAGAGACTGTTTAACCAGTGCGTGTCGCCAGTGATGACTTATAGAAATGATGACGTGGTACTTCACTGCTAGTCAGCTCAGCGAGCTCGAAGAACCGGCAACAGATGGGGAAAAAAGGTTCTCGATTGGCAGTCTCGTACCGGTAGACGAAGTGTATATATATATATATATATCATCTATTTATAAAATACATAAGCCCTTAAAGGACAAAACATAAGTAGGTACAATTTATTCAATTAACTGAGATTTATATATCGTATTTTACAATGTAAGAGCTCCTAAAATGAACGTTGCTCGTCTCTTACGTTTCTTGAATATTTAATAAATATCAGATCAGTGTTTGAGAATTTATTAGGCAAGCTAAATCTAAGTGATTTTATATTATATTTATATTATATCAATTCAAAATGTATGGATATTAATCCTTATCTAGTATTCTTATGGAAAATACGTGGTGATTTCAAGTTTCAAAATTTTATATACTGCTTTAGTAACTTGTACATTTATAGTAAGATATCTTTTTACAGCAATTTCTTTATAAGTGCCAAACTGCAGCTATATTATAATTGTAACACGTATGGGTCGGCTCGACCGGGGAACGACCACGCTCCCACAAAATACCCGGCTTCACATTAGTGCTTTCTGGATTTTGACAACAGCGCCATCTATCGGGTTCAGCCATAGCTGACGTTTTAAAAAACTATTACCAGGCTGGTGCAACTTCCATAGAAGAAATTATATACACTAAACGAGAGCAAATTTTAATGGTAGTTATCTCCTCTTTTTACATTTTTCGTAATATGTCTATTTATGACTTTGTCAAATTAAATATATTTAAATGTCAAATCAAACGGTTACAACTATATTTATTTTAATTATTTAAATTGCTTTTAATCTTGCTATAGGAACCGTTGTCCATTTACAGACCTGTTACCTCGCAAGGTCACGTCAATTGATACTCCTGTTTGCTCGCGACCTTAAAATTTTGTTATATTTTCACTTTGAGACAATACTTATGGATAAAGCTTACAGGAATTCTTGTTGAATGTATAATCGATCCAATAAAATTATATTTACTTGCTAGAAATTGTTATAAAATTCATAAATTACCCTTTAAATAGTAGTAGCATAGTAGTAGTAGATACTTCACTTTTAGTCACAAAATTGTTAATAATTTGAATTCTACACGTTTGTTTTTTGAGAATCTATATAAAAATGTTTAGAAATATATATATATACTTTTATGTTTTATGTGTTTCTATTCGTTACTCATACCAAAATATTAAAAAATAAAAATTAAAAAAGAAATCTGAAATTGATTATTTGTATGTATTTTCAAACAATATTTCAAATATATTTTTGGGTGAATTTGAAATAAATACAAAGTCAAGTTATTTGAAATACGTTGCAAAACTATTTTTATTTACATTTTACACTAAAAATAAATGAAAATTGGAAAAATAACACATTTTTGACCCAACCGCTAAAATGGGCTTTCTCGATTTCGAAGTACTTTTGGCACATACTTTTCACTTTTTATGCCACAAATTATATATATCTACGTATTTGTTATATTACAAGGAATACACAAAGGTATAAAACTCACCATTTTATTCCAAAAACACACAGAAAAACGAAGAAATCACTAAGCACTAGCCACACACTACCACGCACACTACTGGTGTAAAAACCCAGTTTTATGTATATTTTAAGCTTGGCATTGACAGATTATGGTACCAAATTAAAGAGTATGCCTTTGCTTATGTCTGTATTATACATTTAAATATACTTTTGTTATAGTTTTTAATGACAAACCTTTTTTGTTGGGTTGGCCCTTATAAATTCTTAGTAGGCATATGTGTCGCTAAGACGAGCGAGCGTCGTGCGTTGCTTTAGGCATAAGTGTACCATTGCCTAGCGTACAGGTCAAAAAACAAATATGCATTATAAAACTTGCCAATTAGATGGTGTAAGTAGGCAAGAAATTAATAACAAGAAAAGCTATGCATAGCAATACTTCCCTTAGATGATGAAAGGCGATTTTAGCTTTAATTGTAATATGATATTTAACGCCAATATATTTTTGGACCTTAACTTGTAGTAATATCCTCCGAACCGAACTCCGATCACGGACGCCAGTATCACCAAAGACTAGCTACATAGGACAGGTTTTTACAGTGTACGATTTTCCTAACACTGACAGTTCGATGGGATGTCAATCCAAAACGAATTATAGAAACAATATTATCAATTGTAACTAATTAAATCAATTTATGCAATACAAATGTGATTTTTTCAGATGAAAGCATTAGGAGAAGATCTGGCTGATGTACCAGCTGAAAAGCTTCACATGTTAAAACATATTTGTGGCAAACATTGCAAATCTGAAGACTTAAATCCAACTAAAACGAACAGTTATTCCATCAGTGGACTTAAATGTTTCACAATGATGATTTCCTTTACATGAAACAAAATTATACAAAGAATAATACCACTCTAAAGTCACAATTTATTCAGAATTCGATTATAAAACGAACTATTAAGTTACTTATAATCAAAAGAGATTTAAATATATATATATATATATATATATATATATATATATATATACATTAACTACATACTTAAATATCTTAGCTTATAATTAACCGATTATAAATATTGACTGTTTTTCATAGACACAAATACAAGTATAAGCAATAATGAGCAAAAATTTTTAAAGCGACTGAAATTTTGAAACAGTCGTTTCAGTTACTAGTGTTACGAGCTTGAGGTTCGTGAGAATAAAAACTGCCGATTGAATTACCAAAATTTCGAGTGTGGGGTTTCTAGAAAGCTTAATTCTTCTGTTCGATATATAGATGGCACTGTTGGTGGAAAGTTCAAGATTGACATTTTCGAAGCCCTCCTCGCTCTCTTCCCCAACACTAGATGGCGCTAGTGCCAGGTAACAGACGTCAACTTAGGCGCGCAATACTATTATAATTGTGTGGTGCTTATTTTATTTTTAATGCTTTAATAAATTGCTGTGTGTAAAATACTTTGTTTTCTTATCCTCACTGGCAATTTGATTTAAACCTAACGTACCAAATTTTGGATAAACAATATATCGATAGACATTTACAGCACTATTATGATTCGCCTATGTTGTCAGCGCTGTTTATCCAAGATTAACTGTCATGTATTTAAGTTGGTAGAGTTGCTTGGCACCCTTTCATACATTTACAACTATTTCTGTGCTTTTACTAAGGATGTCCTGCCTATTAAACGTAGTGGATATATTCTCTTTAACTATTACATTTATTTCAATTTCATAGTAATGGCGATGGCACAAACCTGTTGGTTCGCGAGCATGGGCTCTCGATGTGGTACTGTGAGAGGCAGCCGAGGAATCTGTCCTTTTTTGACTTTTCCAACTCCAACAGATCCAGTTGTTTGTTGTTGATACAGTATTGTTCCCGGAACTCCTAAAAATAAATTATAAAATAATATCATACAATTTACAATCTGGAAGAACTAAATAATACTTACTAATGTTTAAAATTCAAATTATTGCAATTGATTTTTAGAAAAAATACTCTTGTTTTAATAAAAAGAAGCTAAAAAAGGTATCTTATTATTTATTTACAGATTTTTCCACAATGCCACGTTTAGTGTAACGGCAATTTAAAAGCATCGTTTTTGGACTAATATTAAAATAAAGTAATATTAAGATAATGATATTATAGCTATGTTAGAGTTATTTTAGAGGATGTAGCAACATCTTAGGTGTGGTAAGAAGCGAAATTCAAGCAAGTTGTGGATTTTTTTTACACTTAATCCTTTCAATAACAAAAAGAGATTCGTTTAACAGAGAACATTTTTTAGACCACTATCTGATCTAAAAATGGAGATATCGTTTTAAATTTGAAAGAGTTATATTGTTTAGTTAGGAACGATAATTTAATAATTAAAGTTAAATGATAAATAACTTGTGAATAAATTTGTCACCCACTGTACATAACTTAACTGGAATATGCCTATGACCGTCGCGCATGTGCAAGTAATAAGTTGAAAAGTTTTATTGTATTCTCATGAAAAGTATCGCAGTACATAAAATACGAACAAACAAACATTAATTTTTATATATTAGATTACTCTACTTCATATTTTTAAGTTTGATTTGATTCTTAGGAGCACACTGATTTGAGATATCACAACTGTAGAATATTTTATTCTCATCTCGAAGACTTTATTAACTTAAAAATTTGGGTGATCTATCAAAAGAGATAGTATCAGGCTTAAAAAATTGCTAAAATTAAATTCAGCTGCTCACATGATGGAATACTTTTTGAACTTTAGAGGTGTTTTGCTGTAATTGAAAATATAATCGAGTGTGTAAAATATATATCTACATAACTGAATTATAGGACTAAGCAAACAATGTTATTAAACAATATACGTTTTACAAACAACAGAAATGTAAATGATTATATGTTCATATGATGTAATTGTGAAGGAAATGGGCAACACCGTCTTTCTAATACGAGTAACACCAAAAAATTTGACCGTTGAAATTACGTCAACTGTCCTCTCTATGAGGCAATCTATGGGGGAGGCCAACGGGTAACGGTTTATGTGATGGTAACACTTGTCTCTTTTAAAAATGGAACTTGTAGGTACCTATATGAAATTTCAGAAGAGAGCTCCGAAAATTGACGTTGTGAACATAATTAACGCACTTTGAGAAAGTATTACAGTCACACTCAATCTGTACAGTCAAAACATACTGAAATGGACCGTAACTTAAGGCAATAAGACTTTTAAGAGTGCAGTTTTATTTGTATTATTACTAAGTACCCGGTTGACCGAGCTTTGCTCGGTATTTTTCGCTCGGTTTTTTTTTAATTCGTGTGTTTTGGAAATTATATTTAGATACAAATTACATACTGATGAAATACGAATAATATTTTTTGATCTTAGCGACATAATAGAAAAAACTGAACTGGTTATTTGAATAAAAAATTATGAGTGCAATTTTAGTTTAATTTAAATTTTCGTGTTTTTAAAAATACTAAAAAAAGGGCTCTAAAAAATAGATTTTCTCAAAAAAGAAAGGAACTTGAAAAAAAAAATTAAAAAAAGTCGGTAGGTCGATCTGGGCTCGAACCATGGTATTACGATTTCGTGACCGCCCAATATACCAATTAAGCTATTTGTAATCATCAATAAATTGTCAAAATTTACCTTCTTATTCTACCGATATTGTAACAGATTTTCATTGCCTAAAAACACAGACAAAAAGACATTTTCCAAAAATAAATCCTAGCTAGATCGATTTATTGCCCCCGAAACTCCCTGCACACAAAATTTTATGAAAATCGTTGGAGCCGTTTCCGAGATTCCGATTATATATATACAAGAATTGCTCGTTTAAAGGTATAGGAATAGGATTCTGTCATTCAATAAAAATAAAGAAAAATGAACTTTATTTCTTTGCGTCCGTGGATTTGTACTGTGAACACAACATTCTTCCGGAATTAGTATAACTAATTTGATAAATAATCAGTGCATAAAAATGTTTAATAAAAATTCAGTGTATGTATTATGATTATAACATAATATGCTAATTGGGGTGTCTGAGGGTGTGCGTTAATTACGTTACATATTGTATATATATATTATTTTAATCAATATTTTTATGCATACTGCGGGCACGAAGCTTTGTGGTATTAGGCAAACTTAAAGTTTATATGAAGAAGAATGCATTCCTAAAATAAAATTTGTGTTTACAAATAAATCCAACAAAATAACATAAAACATATATTGCTACATTTATACTGCCAATGTAAAGTGTCAAAAACACGTAATATTTAAAATTGTCGTACCAGTTATATTTGGTGCTACTATCGCAGTTGAAAGCAGTTTCCAGAAGACTGTTTATTATATCAATATATTTATTTTCTTTTAAAAACGCTTATTCAGCTAAAGAAAACGGTACTGATGACAGTAGGCAGTGAATGTCAACAGAATTTAACACGGTACTCTATAATCTATGAAATTCTCAGAACTATAAAATAATATTGTGCCGATTCCCTTATGTATTCTTTTGAGATACGTCATATCGTCATATTTACACGCATCAATCTAGATAACTACATTTATTTTCAATAACCTTGTTTTCATGCTTTGTGGATGTTGTAAACTTTAACACTTCTTGCCTTTATTTCTATGTATGGGATAATGGTAAAAGTTACAGCTACGACCTATATACGTCTCACTGACTGAATACAGGCCTCATCTCATTTCTGAGAGACTTTTAGGGCAAGGAAATGTCCGCCGCGCTGCCCCAACGCGTGTTAGCGAGCTTCACCTGTCTTACAAATATATTTTTTTCATATTTCTCAGACGTGCAGGTCTCTACACGATGTTTTCCTTCACCGCCGAGCACGTGGTAAATTAGCCCTTAAAATTGCAATTAACAATTTCATTGTTGCCGGCGAGTATCGAATGCTACCACGGGCTACCATGAGCTACCACGGCTCTACGGAAGAATGATACACTTTATTTTTAATTCAAGATAGCATTGCTGTTAAATGTACTAATACTCCCGTTTTCGACTTCAACTGCCCGTGAAATGATTGTGCTAGTGTTGGTTCATGGAAGTAGTCAAATAGTAGTCAATTGAACCGTGCTTTTGTGTTTCGGTGTCCGCATCATTAATTATTTAGCCAATGTAGTTGTTTAATATAGCCAATATTAAATTAGTTAAAAAGGTCGCCTCACGATTGGAATAAATACTTTATTTCAATCGTGAGGATTTGTTTACAAATTTGTAATGAGAGTGTTTTTTACGTAAGATTTTCTTCATGAATAATTATTTATTACACGAACCTAAAATATATTGACAAAGGTTTTGGTACCTTTTAGAGACATGTGTTATAATATAATTACCTGCTTGGAGTACATGGTAGTCTTGCTGGCTGGCCGGTCGTCGTTGGCCCTCTGCCGCTTTCTGCCCGCGTTTTCATCCTCCGACTCGTACCCTTTGGCCGAATGTGCTATGTCTGCCTGTTAAAACAATTAAAAAAAACTAACATTACACTCTAGAACATTTTTATCCCCTATCCTATACATCCCCTATATATACCCTATATATACCCTATCCTATATAATATTTTAATGCAGTTTAATCTTCCTACTTCACTAACCAGCTCGTCACTCGATCTGGAGGGTTGCCATACACATCGCTTACCGATATGAGGCACTCATTATATTATCCCATCAGTTGTAAGTGACTCAAGCTATATAGTTATACCTCGGCCGATTGCAACTTCAGCTTACTGTTTAGTTGGGTTATATCGGTCACTTTGGCTCTACTGCAGATATCCTTATTACGAAGTCTAGCACGTAAAGATACTCTAAGCACAGCTCCCTCCATAGCCTGCGACTTTGAGCTTTCTCATACGGCCCTCAATGAAGGACTTCGTCTCAGATCTATATGTCATCATGGGCCATGCCAACGTGCCTTAAATTTCATAGTATGCGAGTAATCTGCGATACCTCGGCCGATTGCAACTTCAGCTTACTGTTTAGTTGAGTTATATCGATTATTTTGGCTCTACTGCAGATATCCTTATTACGAAGTCTAGCACGTAAAGATACTCTAAGCACAGCTCCCTCCATAGCCTGCGACTTTGAGCTCGAGCTGATCTCGCTGACCCCTGAATTTGTTAATCGAAACTTTAAGTGCCGATTAAGCCCATATTTGTCAGTAAAGGAAAGTATCAGAAAGAAATCTGAAAATACTTTTTTTTCAAATGTGAAGTCCGCTAAAAAGCTTAGTGACAGCACACCAGACATCAGAGTTTTTTTTATAGTAGTGTGGCATTGGTTTTATTAATATTAATTTTTTTTGGAAAGATTATGAAAACTGAGTATTGGTCTTTCCCCTCAGAATTGTTCTCATTATATTTTATCTTTTTTATCATTAATCATTGTGAAGTAACAGTAGTTTATTTAATTTAGTTGTTGTGTATTAGAAAATTTAAAAGTAACATTATTGATGATTTCATCAAACTTCGATTTTTGTATATTTAATAATTTTTCCTAAATGTCAAACCTCTGTTTTGATTATATTTAGGTGTAAGGATTAGATATACGGAATGCCAGATATCTGTATGAGTATCACGTAATCTTATAAAATCTACCGAGTACCCACGCGTTTCCGAATTGAACTTAAACATCGTTCCTAATAAACGATTTGAGACAATTTATCATTATTTAAAACCAGGTTAGAAGTCCCGTTTTACTGGAATCGAGGAATTATATCCTCAAGGGTGACAACGCATCTGCATTTTGATTCTTGAGATGAAATGTAGATGATGTATGGGCCACAGCAGCCAATTACCATCAGGTGGACTGTGTGCTCGTTTGTCACCCTTATCCTATAAGAAAATTATTATCTATTACAGACGTGAAACTCTTAAATGTGATGGCGCTAAAAATGTATTCATCGTCCCGTTTTGATACAGAGGTGTAAAAACCAACAACCAACCAACCAACTAATAGGCTTTTTCTTTATATTTACTATGTAAATAAAAACCTATTAGGCCTCTGACAGTTAAGATAAGTAATATGCCACTATGAACTAAAGAGTAAGAACCTAATGAGATTCTTAGGTTCAGGATCGTATCTATTACTACACTGCTCTTAATTCAGTTTATTTGGAGTCCCCCAATAATTTACTAATTTCAAAAAAACTAGAAGGTTCAATATTCGACGTGTGTGTTTATTAATGATTGTTTACGATTTTTTTTGAAACGACTGAACCGATTTAAATGATTTTTCTTTTATTAAATAGGTCGTACATACTTTCGAAAAATAAATCATTCCAGGTGAGATAATAGCGAATAAACATTTTAATTTACTTAATTTTATTCTTTATATACTATGTCCTTTTATATACTAAGACTAGTTGTTACCCGCGGCTTCGCCTGCATGGTCACTGGGAAATGAACTATCCATTGCTTTTTGAATTGAAAGAAAACTGAGTTTTATAGATTTGTCAGTGATGCAGCCATTAAAAGGAAACTGAGCAAAATTGATTCGTCAGCCTATTTAAATGTTTTGAAACGCAGCGTATAGGAAAGCATGAAAATAGCCTCTTTATTCCAAATGGAAATGGGATATTTTTTAATTAAAGGAAACTGAGCATAGTTATCCGTCAGGGATGCAGACTTTTGAAAAGAAACTGAGGTAAATTGATTCGTCAGAGATGCAGTTTTCTAAATTGAAAGGAAACTGAGCTAAATAAAAGATCCGTCAGAGATGCAGCCTTTTCAGTTGAAAGGAAATTGAGCTTAATAGGTCCGTCAGAGGTGCAGCATTTGGAATTGAAAAGAAACTGAGCTAAATAGGAAATTTTGAATTGAAGGGGAAGATCTGTGGGAATTCTGATTAATTGATTGTGGGAATTTTGGAAAAAAAAACTAACTGAACACTATTTTAAGACGCTACTGTACAAAATGTTATATGTTTTTCCATTCGGGGAAAGAATGTGGAGATTCTGGGCATTTGACACACGCGAACATGCTACATATAGTTGACCATGAGAGAAGCACGGTTTTTCTAGTTGACCCCGCTACCTGTAACGTTTGCCCTTGCGCTTTATGAATTGTCATTGCAAAACTGAGCTTAATAGGGAACTGAAACCTTTTGAATTGAAAAGGAAGATCTGTGGGAATTATAGGGATCCGTGGTATAATAACATTTTCACCTTTTCCTACGCCTGTCAAAATTGTAGCACCGATTATGTTTCGTCCAAGATGTGTCACACGCAGCCTTGTCCCGTTACATAACCGAGGAGCATCTAAATTTCGCATTAGCATGACTGGGATGCCTAATTTTAATTGAAGCTTATGTGAGGGCACACCTGACAACTCTAGAGAATTTAGAAACTCTGCGGGATATGAAGCGCTCTGTTCTGTGTCCATAACTGTGTCTGACAAATACTCTGTTATTTCGCCTGCTACTTCGCTTATTATATTTGAATTTTCCTGGTCGCCCTTTCACATAATCATGCATGTTGTTCGTTAAATCTGAATAAACGCTCGCAATTAATTCGGAATGACTCTGTACTAAATTACAAAAATCTCTCGTCAATTAACGCAGCCCTCAGCATCCGTTTCCAACCGCCCATCGCCAATTTTTAATAGTGTGTCTGCATAGTTTCCAGAATTGATATCATTTTACAAATGCACTCTCATATTCGTAGTTAAATTGAATTTTGTCAGCTTGTTCCATAAAATAGGCGACTTGAGGCATGCTTTAATTTCATCTGCAGGTGTGCCCTTTTGAATGACAGGTAAAGTTTGGCGAGTCACCAGCCAGTAAAACCAATATTCCTCCCATTACATCGGTATTGCTGCGCAAATCCTAGAGCGTTCGATTTAGTGCTGCTACAGCCTTTTTATGCGACATTGTACTTTCGTCTTTGCATTGTCGTAGCATTATACCTCGTGCACTATTTTTGCTAAAGTTGCAGATCGGAGATTCTTCCTGGGCTAGATTTAGAGGAAGTTTTAAAACAGAATGTGCAGTGCGGCCCCCGCTTAGCAGCGTGGCGGCTATACCGGAGGAAGCTGCGGCTACAGCAATGTTTTTATCTTTCCGTACTTGCGCTAATAATAAATTTAATAAAAATGTCTTCCCAGTTCCTCCAGGAGCATCTAAAAAGAAAAGTGCACCATTTCCAGATTAAATTTGTCCTAATACTTTGTTAAAAACTCGTTTTTGTTCGGGAAGCAAGCGGGGTACATATTCGGCTACTTGCTGCAGCAAAGCTGGTATATCGTAGTTTATTTCACATATAATTTCATGATTTAGTTCATTTTCGGTTGTTCGCTGAGGGCTTATCATTCCAAAGTCGCTTAATTTTTTTGCCTACCATTGCCATTACTTTATCTTCAATTTTCCAAGTGCTTCATTATAAATGTGTTTATTGTATGTCATGTTCGCGTGTGTCTGCTGTAACCTTCGCAAAATATCTTCCGCCATGTACTCTTTATATTTGTCCAACAATTCGGCCCCGCAAGATGATATGAGAGTTGCATAAAGATCCCTAATATTGGCTGGTGACTGGCACTGCACAGCTTCCTCCATGGTTTCATCCCAGTGATTATCGTTTTCTAAAAGATGCAGAGCTTCACATGCTTCTACCGCAACTTATAATTGCGCATTTCTGACCGTTAACAGTTTTAAGGTCTTTATATCTTGTAGGACCCCGAACATGTTGCAGCAGCAATCGTAAACAGAAACATTCAAAATTAGTTACATGGACGGTATACACACGACCAAAGGCATCTGATGACTTTACACCGGGCCAATTTGCAACAGGCGGGCCTTGAATACGGCGTTCCCACTCCTTCCTAGATGTGTTCCAAGTATAATAGCGGGAGACTTCAGAATATAACAACGTTTTTGCAAAGGGGTCGGTTTGACAAAGTTGAAAGAAGGTTAGTGTAGTTTTTGGCGGTGATGCAATTCTTTCTTGGAAATTTCTTTCGGTGAAATATACACGCTCTCCATTTTCTAAGTGAACAGCAAGGTGAGTAACTGTTGGGTGCCTTTTGTGTAAAGGGAAGCCAGGGAGACGCCACGCTGCCTCGTTACTGCTGACATAACACCCTGCTTGAAAGGTCTGTACTTCATTAACGGGATTTGCCTCACCTTCACTCCTGAGATTAAATATTGCTTGGTCGCTTCCTTTATTTATGTACTTACAGATATAATTGATTGCGCGGACAGAGCTAGATGCTTCTACATTAATGGGGGCATTAAACATTTTACATAGAATGGGCGAATACGGGACAATCCAGCTGTTATCTAAGGTTTCGAACGCTCCAGAGCGAGATTTGATTGTAATTTTCCAACCAACCACCAAAGCCACCATCTTCGGGAGCTCTGAGTCTGTATAAAGGGTAGCCATTGTCATTGTACACTGTTTCTTTTAATAGCTGTTTAGGGAATTTCTTTGTACATTTTCCTTCTTTCATACATGGCGATATTGA